TACATTATTGCGTTAAACGTGGAAAACTAAAAAACACAGACGGTAAATACTACTTTAACGATTTATAGCAATGGTAATTGCTACTACAATATCCCTCGTCTGACATTGCCTTAAGTATCAGACCCTAGCTGCCAATGTCCATCAGTCTGTATTCCATCTTCTTACAATTTGTGTTGGGAAAAAAGTTCACTGTATCAAACAGATGTTTTACCTTCACTAAAAAGATAAATTCCATTGCAGAACACTTCCAAAATGAGAAATGCACCATAAAAACTATTTTCAGGATTTGAATAATGACATCCGTCCTCTCCATGAGTTTGATGTTTTACATACATCGCAGTCAGCATGTCCCTTTATTTTCACATTGCCACTCATAAATCTCCAATCCGGATAATTGTCCACGTGATGAACTTTGTGTGGGTTCATCAGAGCAGCTCTTCACCAAAGAGATTACACAGCTACTAATTCGCCAATGCAGAACAAAGAATACATTTTTATTCGGCCCCATTCACTCACAGGAAATAGACTGCTGGGTAATTAGTGACATCACTGTGGGTGTATAATTCTCCAATTAGCACTGCATGTCTGACCTGCAATAAATTGCCCAACTTTGAGTTTGTTCCTCAATGTCATTAAAAAAAAAAAAAAATTAATAAAAGACAGCTCGACTCCCCAAAAAAACAGGCATTTTTTTATTTGACTCAGAACAAAAAGCACATTATTGTTACAGAAATTAAAGCTGTAAAAAAAAATATTACATAACTGAATATTGCTGATCAGATGGTGAAAAATGTAAGTAGCTTGCTGTTAAAACTCAAGAAAAGATAAACCCGACACTGTACCACCTGCATGTTCATTTAGAATCACAGCTATGAGGGTTTTTTTAAAAAGAAATTTACTAGAAAGGTCTAATTAAATAGTAAGGAAAACTTCAAGAATATAATAAAACCAATGTCACTGTAAAATATAAACTTTGCCTACCTTAAAAGTGGACAGAACCAGTCAGTATAGCAGCGGATGCTGTCAGTAGGGCAGAGATTGGTGTCAGTAGAATAGTGAAAGTTGTCAATAGTTTTTTTTTAGAATTGTCTAAACAATTCCATGTTGTCCTAGATTGTAAACTCGAAAGAGCAGGGCCCTCGAACCCCTCGTGTATCGCACTGTCTCTGTCTTGTCTCATGTCTTGTCCCCCTGCCTGTGTACAGCGCTGAGCAAACCCTTTGGCGCTATATAAATACTGTATAATAATAATAATAATGTCTAACTTTTGAGACAGAGAAAAGAGATAGAAGACTATGCCCTCAATCTCTGCAGCATCAGCTGCACAAAATAAATGAAGAGCCTTACTGTTCATTCACAAGTTGAAGCATAATAAGCAAAGTTTACTATGCTTCAGTTAAGAATGAACACAGTGCGCTATCACTCACTGTGTTCATTCAGAAAAGGAAATGACTGATTTACCAGCTCCTTCCCCAGCTCTTCATCCTGAACCGATTCCGCAGCAGACAGTGGGAGGGAGAGGAGGGGAAGCTGGCAGTGCTGAGAGATGGGGGAACCATGAGAGCACACAGGATTGGGGGGGTTGCCCGGGCAGCAGAAGGAAGGGGAAACTGGACAGGAGGGTGGAGGGGGCAGCATTTGCTGGAATCAATCCCCTGCAGTCCCCTCTCCCCCACAGCAGCTGAAAAGACAGCAGGAGGAAAAGGAGCAGAAGTTGGCTTTCAGCTGCTGTGGGGTGGACTACAGGGGATCGGTTCCAGTAAATGCATACTAAGTTGTTCCTTTCCTGTGCCGCTCTGCATATGTGGGAGGAGCAGTCTGGGGGTCAGCAAGGAAGGGATGCAACCTACCCGTCACATGCCTATGACTGATGGGTTGCCAAACATATGACAGGTGCGCTCCACTTCTGCATTCAGTAATAGATTGTAAGCGCCAAGGAGCAGGGCCCTCGAACCCCTTGTGTATCGCATTGTATTGTACTGTACTGTCTCATGTACTGTCTCCCATTGTAATGTACAGCGCTGAGCAAACTTTTGGCGCTATATAAATACTGTATAATAATAATAAAGATTTAAAATCCAGAAGCAAGCAAAAGTTTGAGTGTAACTCACAATACAGATTGTGGAGGGAGGCAAGAAGTCAAAGACCATATGATTAATGCCTTAGCAAAGGTTATGTAACCAGTAGTCAGAGGGAGTCCAGATTCCAGTTACAACAGCAACAGGCACTTATACTACATTTTTTTGTGGAATGTTAATATAAATCTGCATTAAAACACCTACTTTAATATGGAAGCTGCACAGTCAGGGAGCCTAATAATAATTTTGCTACTAGCCCCTGCTGGATAAACGTACATCCCTGGGAACACCAAATCAATATTAGAGTGCAAGCCTCAATGTAGCCTTTTCTATGTAAAATATTCCTATAAATAAACTGAAAATATTAACAGCAGTTCACATAAAGACCAAACATGGTTTATGTGCATAACAGATGGCCCTTGCTATGACAGTGACTGGGTAGCATCACAATTCAATAGATAATTTTCTAGCCAGTAGTAATGGAGAAAAAGCAGATCTTCCTTCCCCAATATTAAATTATCGGCTAAACATATAACCATGTTCCAGAATGAACTTCAGGAACTACACTTGATATCTGGTGATTAAAGCGGAGCTGCATCTTGTGGAGAGAGCAGCCGTTCACGTAGAAACCCCGGGTTTGTTTACTGTCAAATCCTGTGACCGAGCGCCAGATGGTGGAATTCACAAACTGTGTCAATCATTATGAGATCAACTTCTTGAGTGAGTTGGTGAAATTAGTAAGCAATGAGTGAGATATAACCTTCTTATAGATAATATAGGAGTATCGTCCACATGATAAATGTCCATGTGGTCATTAAGAGGCTTTGCAACAGCTGAACAGGATAGAGGGAACATTTTCCAATGGACACACCTGTACCATTGACAACTGTCTTCGAGGATATTTCCCTCGTTTCAGAGAAATATTATCTTGCTTTATGTTGACTCTTGAATTGAAGTGAAATTTCCCCATTGGGGCACTGCTGCCAAAAAACAAACAGGGGTTCTAATCATTCCTGATCTCTATGGACAGAAAAAAACAAAAACAAACTAAAAAGCTGTGAATTTAGACAAGTCTGAAAGCTTAACTTCTGGATCTATTAGACTTTGCCACGTAGCTTGATGCCCAAAGCTTACAAGAGTGATTTATAGATGAGTTTCAAATGCATAAGCCAAGGGGTGAGAAATTGTATGCAACTGAACAAACTGAGTAATATCCCCAAACCAGAATTATCTACTAGTATTCTCTATGCACAAATGGTCTGCGATTGACTGTACATACCTGTGGCATTGTATGACTAGGCACCCACATCTACTATATATTCTGTACAGAGATGACACTTTCACTTTACAAACACTAGTCTTTCCTTGCTAAAGGCAGAAAGATACGAGGAGCAAAATCATATCATATTCATTGATGTCACTTGACCAGAGTGCTTGTAATATAATAAATTATCCTCCTTCTGCTCCTGTTCTAGCAGCATAACTATGTCTTTAGTGAAGTAGAGTGAAATTGTTCTGATGTCAGAGCTGAAATATATGAATGGACGGATTTATGTTTCCTGTAAAAATAGAACAGTAGCACCATGTGTTGAGATTACAACAGTACATAACTGCACAGAAACCAGCAGATAATCCCAATGGTGATGGAGCATCACCAACCATGCAAATGAAGTACATTAAAAGTGGACTTAGGATAACCAACAAGTCAGTTTGGGTAACTCAGGTACTCAAACGCCGTACTGACCAGTAGGCGACTTACAGACCCTCAACACCAGTGGTTCAAAGCTGCTGCCCCCATGCTAAAGACAGAATGTTTCTTTTCTGGAATAATTTTCACCATTGAAAACAAGTTACAGTAAAATAGTTGCCTATTATAGGCTAGGACTACACTGGTAAATAAATCTTTTTGCAGCTTTAATGTTAATTTGGGTAAAAGTCAGGCCCTGCTTAAAATCTGGGCCTAAGGCTTCATGTACACGAGCCTACCCTGACCGCCGGCCGCAGGAAACTACAAATCACGGCAAGGCCATGGGAAAACGCGGCAAATGCAGTACTGCCGCGTTTTGCTTTTTCCCGCGGTCGGAACGTTCCTATCCTGAACACGATTCTTCCTCGTTCAGGAGAGGGAGGTTTAACCTCAATAAAGGCGGCAACTCCTAAACTCTGCTAAAAGCCTATGTGTACATGGACACATTGGATTTTATGGAGTTGAGTTTAGGAACTTTGGCAAAAAAATGCCAAAAGCTCATAAACTCAAGTTTAGGAGCTGCTCATGTACATGAAGCCTAAGGATCCAGAGGGGTACCACTGGAATATAGCTCAGTTACCTAAATGCACAAAAGGGTGCCTGCATTTTGGCACTGGGTACCCTAAAATATTTTAAGACAGGTTTATGTTAAAGCACTGTTCTAGATGAAAAAGAGAGAGAACAAGCCTTACTTAGGTGCACCTATCTCTCATTGGGCTGCAAATTCTGTACCTGACAAGAAGTCCAACTTTTTTTTTTTATTCCTGCAGTGTCTAGTATAAATATATTAAAAAATACATACTTTGTAAGATAATACTGTAAAAACAACAATAACTGTGCTTAAAGGCCTATGACCAAATGCAAAGGGCAATATCCCATAGCAATCAGGCCATCTCTAACGGGGTCCTTTAGATTACAGCTAGAGATGAGCGAATTATTCAAAAATTTGATTCGGCTGATTTGCCGAATTTGCGGAATAAATTCGATTCGATGCGAATTTAACTTATTAAAAGGGTTTCTAGGCTTCAGAGAGCCTTTATATTAGTGCAGAACACTGTACCTTTAATTTAAATGCCCTTGGAGTCTGCTGGGGAAGAGAAATAATACTGTCAGTCAGTATGACATGCAGATGAGTGCCGTCGATCTTAGAATCACCGCACACTTCACTCATTTAGGCAGTCACGGGGCCAAAACCAGAGTGTGGAGCCACAGTGTGGCGGTGGAGGCAGCAGCAATGGGAGGCCATACAGCACCCTATGACAAAATGGAACCCACCAGCAGTGTGAGGAGACCTGAAAGTGGCACAAGGCAGAGTGTGGTGATGGAGACAGCAGCAATGGGAGGCCGTACAGGGACTCATGAGACACTCTGGACCTGGCAGCAGCATGAGGAGGCGGTACAGGGGCCCATGGCAGAGTGGCGAAGCGTAAGCAGCTTAAATTGAAGACCATACAGAGGCCTATGTTAAAAAGTCCCCCCAGCAGCAGTGTGGGGAGACGACTATCAAGAGTCCAATGGCAGAGTGGCGGAGCAGAAGCAGCTTCAATTGAAGAAGAAGAGGATGAGGAAGAAGAAGAGGAAGAAGAGGAAGAAGAGGAAGAAGAGGAAGAAGAAGAAGAAGAAGAGGATGATGAGGATGAAGAAGAAGAAGAAGATGAGGATGAGGAAGAAGAAGAAGAAGAGGATGAGGATGAAGAAGATGAAGAAGAAGAAGAGGATGAGGAAGAAGAAGAAGAAGAGGATGAGGATGAAGAAGATGAAGAAGAAGAAGAGGATGAGGAAGAAGAAGAAGAAGAGGATGAGGATGAAGAAGAAGAAGAAGAAGATGAGGATGAAGAAGAAGAAGAAGAAGAAGAAGAGGATGAAGAGGATGAGGATGAAGAAGAAGAAGAGGATGAGGATGAAGAAGAAGAAGAGGATGAGGAAGAAGAAGAAGAAGAAGAAGAAGAGGATGAGGATGATGATGAAGAAGAAGAGGATGATGAAGAAGAAGAAGAAGAAGAAGAGAAGAGGATGAGGATGAAGAAGAAGAAGAGGATGAGGATGAAGAAGAAGAAGAGAAGAGGATGAGGATGAGGAAGAAGAAGAGAAGAAGAAGAAGAAGAAGAAGAAGAGGCTGAGGATGAAGAAGAAGAAGAGGATGAAGAAGAAGAAGATGAAGAAGAGAGGAAGAAGAAGAGGAAGAAGAAGAAGAGGATGAGGATGAAGAAGAAGAAAAAGATGAGGATGAAGAAGAAGAAGAAGAGGATGAGGATGAAGAAGAAGAAGAAGAGGATGAGGATGAAGAAGAAGAGAAGATGAGGATGAAGAAGAAGAAGAGGATGAGGATGAAGAAGAGGATGAGGATGAAGAAGAAGAGGATGATGGTGAGGAAGAAGAGGATGAGGATGATGATGAAGAAGAAGAGGATGAGGATGAAGAAGAGGATGAGGATGAAGAAGAAGAAGAGGATGATGGTGAGGAAGAAGAAGAAGAAGAGGATGATGAGGATGATGAAGAAGAAGAAGAAGAGGAGGATGAGGATGAAGAAGAAGAAGAAGAAGAAGAAGAAGAGGATGAGGATGAAGAAGAAGAGGATGAGGATGAAGAAGAAGAGGATGAAGAAGAAGAGAATGAGGATGAAGAAGAGGATGAGGATGATGAAGAAGAAGAGGATGAGGATGAAGAAGAAGAAGAGGATGAGGATGAAGAAGAGGATGAGGATGAAGAAGAAGAAGAAGAAGAAGTAGGATGAAAATAAGAAGAATTCCATTCCAGCAAAAAGTGTATCTGCAGAGAGCTCCGCTATTTCTGACAGTTCTCTGACAGTTCCTTCACATTTACAGCGGTTGAAACATTGTATCTATTTGTTTCCGAATAAAAACATCTGTATCCTAAATGGAAACAAATAGATACAATGTTTCAACCGCTGTAAATGTGAAGGAACTGTCAGAGAACTGTCAGAAATAGCGGAGCTCTCTGCAGGGACACTTTTTGCCGGCTGTAGAAGGGATGAAAATCGGCCGATCGGGGAAAATTCGATTCGTGCATCCGAAGTTTGCTAATTTTCGGATTCGGCGCGAATCGAATTTTTCCTAATATTCGAAACGAATTCCACTTCGCCAAGTTCGATTCGCTCATCTCTAATTACAGCACTTAGCATACAACTGCTGCTTTCTGCAACTGCCTACTTAAAGCAAAAACTCAGCATTATCATAGGACTTAAACATTGTATAACAAAAACGGTCGATAAAACTTTTGCACAGTTAGAAATGGTCAGCTTAGAAATTCCCTTTAAAAATGACAAAATGTAATAAGGAGCAGTCTCCACGTTCCCTTATTAATCAGTTTTGTAAAGCACAATTAGTGGTGTAGCATTCTCCGGTATACCTTGTTAAGTGGCCTGACACTCACATGTGAAGTGAACAGTAAACCGTTGAGATGGCTTTAACGTGTGGGAGCCGAAACCATCAAGTCTTCATTGAGCCATTTAGAGGTAATATATTAAAAGGCAGCAGATATGTGACCTGTTATTTTATAGTCCCTTCTCATCCCGTGAATTAAAATGCCGAAATACGGCCCTCTTGTTTTGACATGAGATGAGTGAAATTTCATGAGGGTGCCTCACAAAACAGCTGATGAGGTAGGAATGACTTTCCATCCCCTCTATTAATCTTGTCTTCCTACCTTTGCGTTTGCTTTCTCTCTCCACCAAGGTAATAATGACACCCTCATCCATTATCCTTTTATCCCTGTTATTCACATGAAATTGCTTAATAATATGTTACAGATTCGTCTTCCCTTGCATAATTCTTCCTGTCATTTGTAGTATATCATGCAGCAAACACACAGCCCACTTTCGCTGGCCGTGCTTTGAAGATTATTGTCAGTGACATCTTCAGGATGCATTTGGAATCTGGAGCATCATTTTCCTTGTGGAGAGAAATTACACTGACTTATCTGTCATTGCCAAAAGCACAACAAGCAATCTGGTGTTAATGCATAGGTAAAATGGGTTTTTATCAGGGAGCCAGGACATAGAGCTCTTGTAAATATATGGTAATGGGGTCTTTTCATCGTTTAATAAGCTTCTTAAGAAAAAGCAAATCTTAATTCACACATTAGAAGTTTGTTAATCTGTAAACGAATGTATGCTACAGAAATTTTAATACACTCTAATAACCCAAAGAATAGAGCAGGCTTCCCAACAAAATTACTAGGATTTTTAAGTTAGTAGTGCAGTGCCAAGGTCTGGGCTTACAGGTACAGATCAGTCAAATTTTTCTTACAGATTGGTCCATGCCAGTGAGATGCAAGTGGATATTGTGTAGTCCAGAAGGAGCAGTTGCTTTTAAAGGAAATGATAGTAGTTTTCTATATATCTTCTATTCTTATTTATTAGGGGCACAAGTATTTAAAACATAGTTTTGTTGTATTTAAATATAGAATACTGATTATAAATATTACGTAGTTCATTTCAAACCATCAAGAAAAGCTCTGTGCTCCTCACATATCCCAAGCTATCCTTGCCCTATTTACTGAGAAAAGTTTACAGAGCTCAATAGCTCAAGCCTACAGTTACACACAAGTAAATGAGTCAAAACAGTAACTTACTGCCCCTCCCTACATCTTTGCTTGGACAGCTCCATCTAAATATTTGTTAGAATTTAAAGGTAGACATTTTTTGGTGGACTCTTCCATTACAAAATCCAAATTAGTAATGCAAATTAACCCGGCAATTTAGAGATTAATGGGGAATATAAAGTGATATAGTAGTGGAATTCTGCATTTGATTTTTTTTTTTTTTTACAAATCGTGTGTTTCTCTAAATGTATACAGTTTAATTGCAATAGACAGATAAGCCTTTTTTTCTATTACTTGGATGTTTATTATTGCTCATCTGTAAAAAGGCAGAAACAAAATTATATTCTAACCTAAGTCTAAGGTTTGTAAAAAAAAAAAAAAAAAAGTATAAGAATATTACCTGTGTCATGACCAAGGTTGAACCCACCAAGCCCCTTATGCTGTGGCATTAAATGTGCCAGACTGGTAAGACCTCTCATAATGTCAGCCATTTCCATCTTCTCATGTGTTACATGGATCTCTGCAAGTGTAAGGTCTCATGCAACAAAGGAATCTAGGAAGTATGTCTTCTCCATACACCTGACCTTAAATAAATATGGCAGCTCCAGAATGCAATTTTAACAAAAAAAATGCAACAATACCAAACAACTAGTGCTTCTGGTAAGTAATCATATTAAAGAACTTTTCTCCCCCCTTACATTTTTTTCCCCCATGTTTAATTCACATATTAACACAGCCAGCAAATCCAGCATTGCCTCCTGCTGTGATCCGCTGCACCGCTGTCACACACTGGGCCCCGTTCTGCCCTCCTCATTGCTCATGTCTCATGGCTGGATCTCCCTTGTTCAGACAGACCACCCCTTTGATGATGCATCGCTGGATCCAACCTCTTCCATCATCTGTATGGAACCTGAGACATCCTAGGATAACTCATATCAATATTCAAGGAGACTTCAATGCAGAGGAGATGTCTAGGCATGAGAATGGTGGCTTGGGGGTGAGGCAAAAAAAAGGTCAAGAAAAATAATGTTTTACATTGCAAGGGGGAGGAGTGCAATGATGCCTAGTGCATCTGATCAGTGAAGGTCCACTATTTTAAGATGAAATAGGATTATATTTACTATTTAAAAAAAGGTTTAGCCCTTTATCAGTGTTAATAATATCTTGATAAATGACATTTCTGTCCAACAATTTATAGTAAAAGTGTATCTGTTTATATTCTACATCATATATTTATGAGACCATTATTCCAACCAGAGTCAATTGTTTTTACAATATGGGATGTTATATAATTTTATTAAGACTGGCACAGCAACCTGCAAGTCAATGTCCAGCTCACCTCTGTGCATTGTGAAAAGAGAATTAAGCAAAAGACCTTTAATGCCAGCTACATCGGCGAGATCTTTTTATCAGAAGATGTCGCAAACAAGCAGTTTTCCCTATCTGGGGGTGGCATTCCAGAGGGACCCTGGCTACCCAGCTTGCATGCCAAATCTGACAACACATGACAAGCTGGTCGGCGTGCAGTAATTTGACTAATTATACTGGATTAGAGCATATTAATGCAAGCTGTTTTCTCCCGAGTTAATGACCTGCTGACTGGGTTCTGCAAGGCCCCACTTGGTCTGCAGACAGAGGGGGGAAAAAAGTGCTTTCTAAGCTCTCGTCGTTTCACATCAGCAAATGAGTATATCAAACTAGTGAGCAGCAAAATGCAAGCGACATTTTGTCTACTCAAAAGCAACACAGTCTTCTTTAACTTTCCACCTCAAGGGTTCCTTTGATGAAAAATTAAAATACCTCCAGCCTGCTCATCAGTGCTCAGAGACAGGAGATGTGCAGTCTACATGTACTTTTCTAAACCCCAGCAAGACGGCTAGTTATAAGGCAAGGAACCTTCTGCGTGTAAATTGCACACTGCTAAAACATTCATTATGTTTGTGTGAAAGCAACCACAACATATGTACAATATGTAATTATGCAAATTAGTGGGGGGGGGGGTTTAAAGAGAAAAACCCTGTGTGATTAGGCTCTGAAGGAAGCAGCCACAACCCCGGCATCACCTATCACTTTGGCAGTGATGAAAAACCTATTCATTGAATCACTTCTATAGAATCAGCATGGGACACATCTATCATGGAGAACTCTGCATCCATCAGAGCCTAATCACAAAGGTGTTTTGCTTTGTGATAGAGACCCTTTAGGAGATTTAACTACACATGTGCTTTTTGATATCTGTTCAGCATGAGAATTAGTCCCTTGCTGACAACAGCCTTTCATATAATCAATACACTGTAAATGAGGCAAAACACCAACATAGCCAAGCTATTGCCAAAACATTTTTCTTT